AAAGAAATTAAATTAGTCTATCACCAAAAAGCTACTACTTTGCCATTTTTTGGTCCAGTTTTGGGCTAATGATGTGAAACTCTACACCTTCTACACAAATGTTTGATCTAAAATAATTCCAGCAGTTCAGAGGAAAAAATTCACTTCCCTGGTAGGCTTTTAAAGTGAAACATCTCCGGGAAGTTTAACTGATAATAGCTTAACAATGGTGGAAAAACAGCAAAGTGACTAATTTAGAGAAGATAGAAGACATCAGCAGAGTACTGAGTTGACATGATGCTATTTTTGTACAAATGGAATTAGTAGAATGCAAATGTTTATTATGCTGAATTTACCATGTAAATTTCCCATGCACAGTACAGCAATTTTTTCATTCCCGTAAAGGAACAACTTTTATTCATTCATGCTGGTCCCTATCACTGGAGCCTTTATTATACAGGCTTTTACAGCAAATGTTAACATTATCTACTTATGAAAACAAAACCTTATAAGAAACCATGTAGGAGTCACAGTAGGCATGTAGCATCTGGTCCACAGGGCTGTAGTTCAGGGAATGAATATTGGCAGTCATTTTGTTGATGAACACACCAATGTCGAACCTTTCTACCCCTGTTGTGGTGTCAAACGAATAGAAGATCTCCTCCACGTTTTTGTTGACGTACCGTGTCGCATAGAGCACACCACAGGCCATGAATGTGTTGGTAACCCCTTGCTTGTAGACCGAGGTGCGCCAGGTTTGGCCGAGCGTCAGCGGTTCACCTTCCTCCACCTTGGACAGCACCAGGTTGCCAAAGTCCTGTTTGCTGGTATAGATCACCCAGACGCCTGACTCATCTGTCGCCAGGTCCAGATCGGTGTACGGGTAGCATCCTTCAAGGTGGCAGAAGTTACCCTTTGAGTTATATCTGGAAAAAAAAAACACAGGACAGAAATCATGTTTCGTTTTGAGAAATGAGAATTTGGAAAACAAAACAAAACACAAAACAATCAGTACCTTAGTTTTCTTGCACTCATTATGTTATGCTGTGATTTTGTACACATATAATTCTTTGCTCCATTTTTTGTCATATTCTTTGAATATATGGCATTAATTGTGGCATCAGCAACAACCATTTAAACAATGAGCTTAGAGACAAAGTTAAGTGGCAAACCTAGTGCCTTTGGGTAGCTGTAAGGTGGTAACAGCTTTGGTGGTGAGGTTGAATCGACAAACTAAATCTTGGTTGTAACAGTTGTAGTATAGGGCCTCTCCATACAGCACAGCATTGGGACCCTGGACGGTGTTAGTGGTTGGGTTAGAGGAGTGGATCTGGACATTACCTGGAAGAAGAAGAAGAAGAAGAAGAAGAAGAAGAAGAAGAAAATGCAATTGCAAGTAGGTATCGTTATCATTTGTTAATATTAAAAAAAACATTAAATTGTTTTGTTTATTGTTGCTTTTTATAGTTATGCAGGCACCTTTATGCATATTATAAATAAATGTTTATGTTTATCTATCTTTGGCTGGCTTTGATGTCTTTGTTTTTAACAATGAAAAACTGAAGTCATATTCATTACTTAAGAACTGATCCTGATCCAGTAAAAACAGAACTAGAACACAAGAGTTCTTTACCTGGGGTGCTCTTCCCCACAATGAGAGCACTCAGGCTGGAATAGCGACGGACGTAGTTGGCGTATATGTTGCTGGAAGTCAGCATTACCAGCCAATACCAGTTCTCCTTCCCCGCATCTGGTTTGGGATCCCGACCCCAGGCTCCATACATGTAGGACCCAGGGTACTCTCCTTCTGTGTACACCCTCGGCCCGGTAATGTTCCGAATTTCACCATGGGGACAGTTACCTTGAGGGAAAATATGAAAAGAAATAGAGAGAAAGAAATTGTGCAAATGCAGGGAAACCAAATAAGTACAGCTGGTTGTGTGAGGCATCCACTGGTTGATAATTACTTCTTAATTGTGGTGATTGGTGCTGAGAGCTTCCTACAGTTCATTTATACCAGACATTAGCTCTTAGTGAGGAGGGCTTGTCACAGCTGTGAGCGACCTCATTTGAGTCACGTTCTAGTGCACACACAGTGGACAGGGAACCAGAATGGCCTCTGATGTCATACCAATCCAATATACATTTTATTTTGTTTTTGTTTCCTACATAATACACCAGAATCACCTGTGGCAAGAAGGTTTGTGATTTATACAGCACCTTTTCATCTACAGCATGAAAAATCAAAGAAATTAAATTAGTCTATCACCAAAAAGCTACTACTTTGCCATTTTTTGGTCCAGTTTTGGGCTAAGATGATGTCATTTTTACTGGAGGTTAAAGTCTGGTCACATCTGATTTTGCAGGTAAAATATTATTATGAAGACTAATGAGATCATTAAGTCCAATCAGTCTCTGTTTGATGATGATGCAAATTTACAAAATTGATCATAACTGAACTTTAAAAAAATTAATTGCTGCACAACCAGAATCATTTTTGATCTATCTGGTGGTTTCCAGTGGAAGGAAAATAAAAAAATTCTGGTGTGTCCTGGTAGTTCACCTGGTAGAGCTGGCACCCTATGTACCAAGGCTGAGTCCTTGCTGCGGCGGCTATGGGTTTGAATCCAACCTGTGGCCGTTTGCTGCATATCATCCCAAGCCCCAAAATATACATCTCCCCACAGTCTGCTGTGTTTTGGGACATACCAGGTTGAGGTTGAGTGGGTTTGGCAGTGGGTTGAGGTCCATTCCTGCACTGGTCCAGGTCTTTCAGTAGACGCTTGTTGTCTTGTTGTCTCTTCACCACCTGCATGGTGTCGTACGTCTCCAGCTGCTGCATCTCTGCTTTCATGTCATCCAACTGAGGGACAGCAAATATGAATGCCTTGAAGGAATATAGTTTCTATACACTTCTGCTCAAAGGTTTGGAAAGTCCTGCCACAAAGGCTTGATTTAGTACTAAGAGGACTACTCTATATATTTGAATGGTCTTAAAGCTTTTAGGCTGTAGGAAGGAGAATGAAATATCTGGTTTAACTGTCAAGAAAAAATCTGTATATATTGTGATTTCTTTGCAAATTCATTTGGTGGCCTGGCCTCTTGCAGGTCTCCATGGTGGAGAAGATGACGTATGTCTCACTCTACGACATCTGCTCAATGTCCTCCTAAATCCACGTTCTTCACTTATATTATAATCTTCATGTATAAGAAATTGTTTCATCAAAATGTGTCTATAGAGGAAAGAGGGACCCCTCACTGTAAAACCAGACAAGTTCATTTAACTCAGAAAACTGTTGAAACTGATTATATCAACATTTTTAAGTAACACAAACTCAGTTTTTTATGTTAAATAAAAGTCTTGATTAAGCTGCTTTTACTAGTAATTTTAAGTGACACTAACTTAGTTTTGTTTATTTACTAGGTCTGTTGTTTTCACAGTACATATAAAAAATACTTGTAATTAGCTACTTGATCAAGAATGTTATTTTTAATAGTATAAGTGTGCAATGCTAAATTAGCCGCACACTCTTTTAAAGAAAAAACAGGTATGACAACAGTATAAAGAGAATGTTTTCTCTATTCCTATAATAGAGTACAGGCCATTATAGTACATACCTTTTGAAAGCCATAGACATAATTCTATGGGACAGTGCAGTCTTAGTGCTCCTTTAAATAATGTTATACTAGATATTTCCATGTTTCATTTTTGATATAGATAATAAAGATAAATCAACATTTTGATCAGACACACACACACTGCTTCTTAAAACATGTCAGTGTTGAGCAACTGGTGCTTGTCACATGTGAATTTACCTGTTTAGTGGTGTTAGCAGTTAAACGCTGGTGTCCCAGGGTGGTGCCGTTGAGCCTGTCGATGAGCTGTGTGATCTCCACCAGTTCATTCTCTACCACATACAGGCTGAGAACTGCATAGAGCTGTCCGTCATCCTCCCTCTCCAGCATCGACACATCTTCCTGCAGCTGGGGCAGACGTCGCTCCAAACCCAACAGCAGACTCTCCAGCTCCAGAGTCTGCAGAGAAAGCAGGTAGAGACTGAGAGCACACTCAAGACTCCTCCAGTATGAACGCATACACACACAAGACTTATTGGTTTATATATAGTTTATAATAGTTTTACAGCTGCTGAGGGAGTTACCTTCTGTGGGGTGATGTTGCTGTTGCAATTTGATACATTGTTGTCCAGTGTGCTGAGTTTGTCATGAGGGAATGCCTTCTCTGAACTAGTCAAGTGACACACACACGTATCACGTGAAGGTGCCTGAAATCAACAATAACAAAGAGGGTTTGCAATATGATTTAAAGAGCTGAAAGTAATTCAAAAACAGAATCATAATCACTATATTCTTAGTGTTTTCTTACCTGTTGGGTGAGGGCGAACAGAGCACACAGAGGAACGATCACATACAACTTCATGGTGGATCAGAGAGCAGAGGTAAATGAAACAGTCCCTGAACATTTGAATATGACTGTAGCTGCTTCTAACTTGTGGACACTCCCACCAACCTCTGCATGTGAGTGAGTGAATGTGCAGTAATGTGTCATTATCCCCCAAAATAGGATCACTTCTTCCTTGCATTCGGGATTGCAGCAGCACAGGAATTTTTTTTAACAGAATAATGAATATACTGATTTATGTTAATTATGTACAATTTTAAGATATTTTGAACTAAAAATATCCCTTTTGGAAACCATGAGTAATACCAACACATTCTCATTCCAGTCAAGTACCGACGCCATTTTGCATTGCCCCTTGGTTTCTTATACTAAAGGTAACCTTTAGTGTCTGTATGAGACACCTTTTTAACACGTGTGAACGTTATGAAGTATTTTATTCAAAGTCACAGGGGCGTTTTCAGACTGTTTTAGATAGGGGGGCACAAAAGGGGCACTGACTTATGCCAGGGTGGCATCAAGTATGTGTCTCATCTTTCCAGTCATTCCCAACAGTGTTTTTGGACTCCAGTCTGCAGAAATATTCAATACACTAGGTAAAAATACCACATGCAAAGAACTGCATGGTTTTTGCCCCAAAACTGCATGGGATTAGCATAAAGTGTTTCTGCAAAAATGCACTCATGACTCATGAGTGTATTTTTTTACTGTGCCAAAAATTTAAATTTATCATATGCAGTAGTAGCTAATATAGTTTAGAAGTAATTAGGCGGTGTTCCCTATTTGGACGTATTTTTAACAGTTTTAAAACTCTAGTATTTGAATCAGTTTGAACTACAACAAGATGTAATGTATAATCCAGCCAAAATTGTGCTTGATATGCATTTATGTCCTTAACTTTGGCTTGTTTTCAGGCGCCCGGTTAGCTCAGTCGGTAGAGCTGGTGACCCATATACGGAGTTGCTGCA